GCATCTCTTCCATCTGGGTGTTCATCTATAGTCTTTATCATATCCTTTTATAATAAACTGGGAATCCAGTTTAAAAAATTCCTCCCTTAGTCTTCTGGCTGGACTCGCTAGCTCCATTCTCTCCTCCACTATTCCACTCTTGACTGGCTCCTGACTGGTCAAAGCTTCCCCAACCCTTTGGCCTAGGATTTAATGATGTGACTCTGTTCTTCCTCTCTAGTCTCCTCTGATCTTCCTCTCACCATTTTTTCTCTATGTCTACATTTCAGCCAAACTTGAAGTTCCCCAGACATTCATCACTCCCTCTTTTTCAAAACCACATAGTGAGTAAATGGCTGAAGCAGGATTGGATTCAATACATATTCTCCCATCCTTATGTCTGCTTATGTCTCTACTATGCCACTTGTGAAAGTGCAGACAGAAATGCCATTGTAGAGGTGGGTTAGAGGTAGGAGAAAAAAGAGCTAGAAGAAGAGGAAGATTTCAACCAGTTCACCAGATGCATATTACCATGGTTCAGGCCCTGGAGTAGATACTGGAGATACAAAGACAAGTCTATAGAAGAATGAAGCAAGAAGGTAGGAGCCTTAGTACCTGGAAAGTAGCCTGTGTTGAGGTACGTCTTGGTATCCCCAAGAGAGTTTTAGTTTTTAGAGTCTGGAGACAAAATAAGTCAGAGAAGCTACAAAATAATGGATAGGGAAGGATATCTGATATCTGTATGAAAGTGTCCTTCTGGGAAGTTCAGTAAGCTCATATATCTTCATAACTCATGACATAATCAACAAAGCTTGGCAACAAAAATATAGATTCCAATACATTAATAGATATTGCTAAGGTATCTTTACATCCATGTATGCTGATTTCACCTCCCTTTTGGGTCCTTGATTTCTGACCTTTTAAAGTATTCTAGTGTAAAAGGAAAGCCTTTTACTTCGATACATAGAACTAATTGTCCCCTTCTTTTTACCTCTTCCCTTCAGCTTCCTCCCTCCTCAGAGTGTAGGAACAACACAAAGATGGATTTGTATCTTACCAGATAGCATTTACCTGGACTAGACAAGGAAAAAACTCTCTGGCTTAGCCAACCTGCCCTTTTGGAAACCTGTATTTGCAGTCCTATGGAGCCGAAGGAGCACAGGTGTTGAAATTAGCCAGCTCATCGCTTACAGTGCGCCTTACGTTAACTAGGTAACTTCTTTGTGCCTCTGTTCCTCATCTATGAAATAAGTATAATGATCCCCAGCTTCACAGGGTTATTGGGAGAATAACCTGAAAAGATCTGACCTGACACACTAAGAACTTGAAGTGTTTTGTTTTTTCGATTTAAAAATTCACTTCTGGGACTTCCCTGGTGGCACAGTGGTTAAGAATCCGCCTGCCAATGCAGGGGACACTGGTTTGATCCCTGGTCCGGGAAGACCCCACATACCGCGGAGCAACAAAGCCCGTGCGCCACAACTACTGAGCCCACGTGCCACAACTACTGAAGCCCGTGCGCCTAGAGCCCATGCTCCGCAATGAGAAGCCACCACAATGAGAAGTCTGCACACCGCAGCGAAGAGTAGCCCCCGCTCGCCGCAACTAGAGAAAGCCCGCGCACAGCAAGCAATGAAGACCCAACGCAGCCAAAAATAAATAAGTTAATTAATTTTTTAAAAAAATTCACTTCTAAAAATCCCAACAGCTTTTAGATACCCATGCAGACAATAACCTGTGGTGGAGCTATGACTTGTCTGCTATTTCCCCAGGAAGAATGAATTGCCATCTCTGTGCTGCCCCCAATACTTTACACACAATTCTGCTATTTCATCTGCCATACTATGTATTAATTATTTGTTACTTCCTCTTTCCCATGTTTGATTGTGAGTTCCTCAAGGACTGACATCCTGTCTGATTAATTCATTCCAGCATCTGGCACAAGATGTGTAGATCCGACTTCTAACCTCGATGTAAAAGCTGACTGACCCTAAGTGAATTTTCCAACATTCAATTGCCTCATAAAAATTGATAATAACTATTTTAAAAAATTTTTTTATTTTTTTGCATTACGCGGGCCTCTCACTGCTGTGGCCTCTCCCGTTGCGGAGCACAGGCTCCGAACGCGCAGGCTCAGCGGCCATGGCTCACGGGCCCAGCCCCTCCGCGGCATGTGGGATCTTCCCGGACTGGGGCACGAACCCATGTTCCCTGCATTGGCAGGCAGATTCTTAACTTTCCTGCACTAGGAAAGTCCCCAAAATAATGAAAATTTGCCATTTGCAACAACATGGATGGACCTGGAGGGTACTGTGCTTAGTGAAGTAAGTCAGACAGAGAAAGACAAATACTGTATGTAATCACTTATATGTGGAATACAAAAAATAAAACAAACTAATGAATATAACAAAACAGAAACAGACTCACAGATATAGAGAAAAAACTATGGGGAGCGGAAAGGGAGGAGAGACAAAATAGAAGCAGGGGATTAAGAGGTACAAACTACTATGTGTAAAATAAATAAGCTTCAAGGATATATTGTACAGCACATGGAATATAGCCAATGTTTTATAATAACTTTTTTTTTTTTTTTGCGGTATGCGGGTCTCTCACTGTTGTGGCCTCTCTGTTGCGGAGCACAGGCTCTGGACGCGCAGGCTCAGCAGCTATGGCTCACGGGCCTAGCCACTCCGCAGCATGTGGGATCTTCCCGGACCGGGGCACGAACTCGTGTTCCCTGCATCGGCAGGCGGACTCTCAACCACTGCGCCACCAGGGAAGCCCGATAATAACAATTTTTTATTTGAGTGGCCGCTATGTGCAATGCATTATGCTCAGTCCATCATTTAACTGTGAATTTGTCCCTTTAGGTGGTCTCTTAGCAACTCTTCTCCACAGGGGTTAAGGGCTACCTTTGGGGGACGTAGATTTACCTACACAGCCCTTTGTAGCTCCTTGGAATTTCATCATAGGAAGGATTGATAAAGCAATAGGACAAGGTACCTTGGCAGGGTTTCTGACAACAAAGGAAACTCCCTGTTACTGAAGACCTATTCATATTTACCAGTTTTTACACCTTTTTCCTTGCTAAGTACAAAACTAATAACAAAAACAGTAGCAGCAGCAATAATAACAGCAACAATAAAAATAACTGCATATTTGTTATTTCACTTGATGTTGACTTTGTAACCACGCACTCCCTTCATACAGAGTTTATATATATATCTCTGTAACTGGAATTCCTCATTGCTTTATAATTGTTTACAACTTGGCCTCCTTACTAATCTCTATGAGCCACTTAAAAATTGTATATATTTAAAGTGTAAAATATGATGATTTGATATACATATACCTAGTGAAATGATTACTACAGTCAAGCTAGTTAATATACCATTTCCTCACGTAGTTAGCTTTTTGCGTGATGAGAGCACCTGAAATCTACTCTCTTAGCCTATTTCCAGTATTCAGTATGGTGTTATTAACTATAATCATGCAGTACATTAGATCTCTAGATTTATTTATCCTGCATAACTGGACATTTGTACCTTTGACTAACATCTCCTCATCTCTCCCCTTCACCCCCACTGCCCCAACCCCTGGTAACCACCATTCCGTACTCTGCTTCTATGAGTTTGACTATTTTACGTTCCACATAGGTGAGATCGTGGAGTATTTGTCCTTCTGTGCCTGTTTCATTTAGCATCATGTCCTCCACGTTCATCCATGTTGTCACAAATGGTAGGATTTCCTTCTTTTTAAATGCTGTTGTAATATTCCATTATACATATACTGTTTATACTGTTTTTGATAGTGGCTGTATAAATTTACATTCCCACCAGCAGTGTGCAAGGATTCCCTTTTCTCCACATCCTCACCAGCACTTGTTATCTTCTGTCTTTTTGATAATCGCCATTCTAACAGGTGTGAGATGATATTTTGTGGTTATGATTTGCATTTCCCTGATGATTGGTGATGTTGAGCGTCTCTTCATATACCTATTGACCATTTGTATGTCTTCTGAGAAATGTCTGTTTAGATCCTTTGCCAAATTTTAAATCAGGTTGTTTTCTTGCTATCAAGTTGAGTTCCTTATATATTTTAGATATTAACTCCTTATCAGATGAATGATTTGCAAACATTTTCTACCATTCCATAGGTTGTCCCTTCACTCGCTGATTGTTTCCTTTGCTGCACAGAAAAACTTTTAGTTCGATGCAATCCTCTATGAGCCACTTAAGGGCAGGGACCATGTAAATATTCATCTCTGTCTTCCCAAGGTTCAAAGGATTGGCACAAAGTCACGCTAAGTAAATGGTTGATGTGTGTAAAATAAGTAAATGAATGTGTGCTGTGACATTATCTCATGTGAGAAGGGGTATGTCAGAGGGAAAGCACTTTGTATAAATGAGACAGTTTGAAACTCAGCTCTGTCTCGGTCGGTTGGCCCTAGACAAGTCTCTTAACCTCCTGCAATATACTTACATGTAAAATCCAGTGATAATATCTCACTAACAGGCTTGTTATGAGGAGTAAAGTGATGCTCTGAGCATAATGCACTGTACATAGTGGTCACTCAATAAAAAATAGTTATTATCAATTATTATGAGGCAACTGAATGTCAGAAAGGCTCACTTAGGGTCACTCAGCTTTTAAATAGAGGTTAGAAGTCAGATCTCCACGTCCAGTGCTAGACGCTGGAATGAATTAATCAGGCAGAATTTCAGTCCCTGAGGAACTCGCAATCAAACACAGGAAAGAGAAAGTAACAAATAATTAATATATAGTATGGCAGATGAAATAGCAGAATTGTGTGTAAAGTATTGGGGCAACACAGAGATGGCAATTAATTCTGCCCGGAGAATTCGCAGTGATGGTGACACTTGAGCTGTAGTGGGCGATTTCTAGACCCTCTCAGAAGCTGCCGGAACCAAGGTGCTGCGGGAGTTGAGTGAGTCTCGGTCGGATATTGTTACCGGACCGGATCGAGGCCGTTCCGTCAGTGTTTTCGGACGCCCAGCGGTCGCGGCTTCTTGGGCCGATCTTCAGCTGGCACAGTTACAGGCCGCGCAGCAGCAAAGGATGAATGGAGCTCTGGGAAAGGTAACGTAGGTTCCACGCACGCTGGGCGCGGGGGAGGTGGTGAAAAGAGCTGAGCTGCGAGGTGGCCGCGGGGCTTTTACGCTGCTGCAGACATCCGGGTAAGAGACTTGGGAGAGAACAAGGCTCTTCCCAGAAGCACGTGCGGCGCCTTGTCAAAGGGTTGCGCTTAGTCGTCTGCTCCCGGGGCGTTAACCCGCGCGCCACGCCCCACTTCGCGCTACCCTCGCCTCGCATTGGCCGGAGCCCCGCAATGGGAATCACAGCGGAATAGATCCAAATAATATGTACGACCTTGAGCAGGTCATTTTATTTTTGCTTTAGGTCATCAGCTTCCAGATTTTTTTCTAAGAATACCGTTTTGACTCGCTGAACAGATTGGGATGTGAGGCTACTTGGTGACAAGGGAAGGGTAATAATAAAAAAACATTTTTACTTACAAAATCTTAGTTACGTGACTGCAGTAAAACCGTGTGAACCACGTAAAGCATTCCTTGACTTTCCCTTGTTCTCTTAACAGATTTCAGCTGTGCTTTTTCAGTTGTACCATGCTGCTTAGAATAATGACTTTTTTTTTTTTTAGCAATTCATGTTAAAATTTTATTCAAGGCATTAATTTGGAGACTGTACTCCATGATACACAGCATGATCATTGCTGCTCATGGATCTACTGGTCCTAACTTTGGGGCAGCCCCTGAATGTCTCTAGGTTTGTTTCCTTAAGGTCCCAAACCTCACTTCATCCTTAATGAAGTAACTCTCTGTTGTTCACTTTAGCCAAATTGTGAGAATTTAACTAGATCTGGTGAAAAGATAATAGAAAAAAAATCAAAGTTTTAAAATTTAACTGTTAAAGATGGTCAGATTGGTGGCTCCATGCTCCTGCTCTAAGAGCCTTGATTCTGAGGAATGCTGAAAGGGAGGGATCATTGTTCAGGGAATACTGTTTTTGGCCATTCTGTACTCCTGAAGAGCCCATGGAAATCTGTCATAGGCTATCACCTAAAGATACAAGGGCATATAGGGCCCATCTGTGTCTGATGCCACTGTTCCCTTCCAGACTCCTTTGTTACTGACTTCACTCTTCCGTTCTGCCCTATTGCTTTGGCCAGGTAGTCTCTTCTTTATTTACCAAATGCTGAATTCCTAATCTTTGTTCTTGTGGAGGTTTCTCACTTGGAATGCCCTCACCTTTTTCACCACCTATCCAAATGCTCCATGGTTCAAGGCCCAGCTCAGGTCTCATCTTTTCCTTAAAAGCTTTCAGACCATTCCAGCCAAAGTGCTTGTTTATTTTTTGAACTCTTAGCTGGTATTATCTTTTGCCATCTAATCATATGCAGTCCTGTGACCATCCTTGTCTCAGCCTGTCTGGAAGTGTTAGTTAATGCTTTACATTTATAAGGAAAACACATGGCATTTGCATCAGACCTGTGTTCTATCTCTTGCTAGCTGTGTGACCTTAGGCAGGTTTTTGACCTCGCTGTGCTTCAGTTTCTTATCTGTAAATGCAGATAATGGTGCCCATCATATGGAATTGTTGTAAAGATTATAGAAGATAATGTAAGAGTATTTTCTAAGTGTGAAGGACTATACAAATAGGAATATTGATATTATTCTATAGTTAATAAACTGCTTTCATTTCCATAATTTTATTTGAGCTTCATGATATGAGATAATCCTGGCAGACACAAGAGATAAGGAGGTGGAAGCTACTGGTGCAGTGTCTGATACATAATAGTTTCTCAAATGCTTTACCAAATGCCTGAATGAACGAATGCCTTGCTTATAGGTCAACAGTCTCTTTTGTGGTAGTGCTGAACTGGAGCCTAGATTTTCTACCCCTCCTAAAACCCCACTGCCTTTCCTCTTCTGAGTATTTTGCATCTCCCTAATTTGATAATAATCTTGGTTTCTCTCATATGTGAAATGAGGAATGAAAACCTTCCTTGACCTTCCCAGTTGTCAGTCCTTCCCTTCTTTGTGACCTGTGCAGCCCATTATACCGATCTCATTTCAGTGTAATAAATAATTTTCACATCTACTTTCCTCATTAGCAAGATTGAAGGTAGGGACTTCCCTGGTGGCCCAGTAGTTAGAATCCGCCTGCCAATCCAGGGGACACGGGTTCGAGCCCTGCTCCAGGAAGATCCCACATGCCGTGGATCAGCTAAGCCCGTGCGCCACAACTACTGAGCCTGCGCTCTAGAGCCTGCGAGCCACAACTACTGAGCCCACATGCCACAACTACTGAAGCCTGTGCTCCTAGAGCCCATGCTTTGCAACAAGAGAAGCCACCACAATGAGAAACCCACGCACCACAACAAAGAATAGCCCCCACTTGCCGCAACTAGAGAAAGCCTGCATGCAGCAACGAAGACCCAATGCAACCAAAAATAAATAAATAAAAATAAAATAAAATAAAAAATTAAAGAAAAAAGAAAGATTGAGGGTAGGCAACTGTATTTTCTTCATGTCTGTATATATGCAGCCTACAGTGTACTTGACCTGATAAATATTGAATGAATAAATGAATGAAAAAATGTTGACATTATGTGGTAAGTACACAGTAGAGCTGGGACTAGAACTTCAAACTCTTAGCTCAGTGCCTGGGACCCTAAGAAATCATCTCAAATTTTAGATGAGTGAGAAGCTCAGCTTTAGTGGAATAAAACTGGGTGGGATCACATACCTCTTTAGGTTAACAGAAGTAGTAAAGCAGCGTTGATCCAATTAACACACTAATGCTGATAGTCATCAGACTTCAGAAAACATATTATTTGATCAAGATGGAAGGATGGTGCCTGTGGAAGTCAACATGCACAGGGAATTGGTAGTGACTCACCTGCTGAGTTACTTTGCAGAGAAAATGGATGGTGTTGGAGTGTCAAGCTCAGGTCTGGATGTCACTCACCCTCAGATTACCATTCTTTTCGGGGATTACCATACCCTTGAACCACAAGGATATGATTAGGGGAGGGGTGGTGATCACAAAAGATATGCTAGCCTTACCAGCCCAGAGGGAGCAACCTTGGGGACTGATCACATAGTAAGATGTTTTCAAATGAAACACTGAAGGCTAACATGGAGCAGAGTTCATATGAACAAATAGCAGTGAGGATTGAAAAAAATGACAAATCAACAGACATGAATTAGGAGGACATAAGAAGATATGAAACAGGAGGGCAGAAATTTCAGAGGGCCTAGCAGGGCAGGGAGTCCAAAAGCCCAGCAAAATGGTCAAGAAGTTGGCTATTTCCTGGTCACTACTAGACTGTAAGTTCTGGAGGACAGGGACATTTCTCTATTTTGTTCATGGTTTTATCTTCAGCACTTGTCACATACTAAAGTACATATTGTTTAATAAATGAGGAAATGAACAATCACCACTGCTCCCAATTTGACCGTTAACAATGTGCCTTGCACTTGCTAAGTCCTTTTCATATAATATCTAATTTAATAGTATCAACAACTCTATGAGTTGTTTTTTTTTATTTATTTAACTTATTTTTTTATACAGCAGGTTCTTACTATATGAGTTGCTTTATAATCTGTTTAGAGATAAGGAAGTGAGGTTTGGAGAGATTTACTAATTTGATCAGCAAATATTTATTGAGCACTTGCTATGTGCCAGAGAGTATGCTAGATGCTGGGATGTAGTAGTTCCTGTCTTCAAGGAGCTTATATTTCCAGCAAAATAGACTAATTAAACATATAACTACCTTTTGCTGTATACCTGAAACTAGCACAATATTGTAAATCAACTATACTTAAATAAAAACAGTATAATTACTTAACTAATTGTGATAAATGCCTCAAAAAAAAAAAAAGATTCTGTGTGCTATATGGTGTGTATAACAGCAGAATTCAAGTAAGTCTGAGCAGTCAAGAAAGTTTTCTTGACGATGTTACACGACTAAGACTTAAAGAATAATAGAATTTAGACTGGGAGAGCATGTGCGAAGGCCCTGAAATGAGAACACGTTTGGAGTTCCAGAGGGCCCAGAGGAAATTGGAAGGGAGAGAAGCAAGGGAGCTTGTATCAAGGGAGAGTGTGAGGAGAAGTATGGGGATGAGAGTTGGGGAGATGGTAGGGGATTGGGCTTACATTTCAGTGACCACAGTTGTTTTGAAACATTTTAGTCCTGGAGGAAGGTAGGGAATTGGGCTTAACAGAGCTCAGCTGTGGCCTAGAAGTGCCATCCAGCAATATGGTGTGAGGCCAGATATTCCTTTCTTCCTCCCTTCCTCTCAATCTCTCTCTCTTTCTTTTTAAAATCGAGATATAATTCACGTACCATGATATTTACCCTTTTAAAGTGGATAATTTAGTGGTTTTTAGTATATTCATAAAGTTGTTCAGCCATCATCACTAATTTCAGAACATTTTCATCACTCTAAAAAGAAACGTTGTACCCATAAGCATTTACTCCTCAATTCCCCCCTCTGCCCACCGCCTGGTAACCACTCATCTACTTTATGTCTCTATGGATTTGTCTGTTCTGGTCATTTCATATAAATGAAATGATATAGTATGTGAGGCCAAGTATTTCTTTTTTTTTTTTTTTCGCGGTACGCGAAAAGGTACGTTGTGGCCTCTCCTGTTGCGGAGCACAGGCTCCGGTCGCGCAGGCTCAGCGGCCATGGCTCACGGGCCCAGCCGCTCTGCGGCATGTGGGATCTTCCCGGACCGCGGCACGAACCCGTATCTCCTGTATCGGCAGGCGGACTCTCAACCTCTGCGCCACCAGGGAAGCCCCAAGTATTTCTTAAGTGACTTGCGAAAGATCATACAGCTAGTAACATGGAGGAGCTGATATTCAAACCCAGGTCTGTGTGAATCTATAACCTGTGTTTCTAACTGCCGTAAAGACTCAGTGCAAAGACGGGCTTTGATAGTCACCATATTAAACACATTCAGAAGAGAATGGCCAAAGAAAAAATTACAAACAATCAATTTCGTAAGAATTTAGGAAAAGGTCAGCTTGAATACCACTTATTAGC